GGGGGGGACAAGCACAGACATTCGTGATTTGAGTTCCTAATGGACCATTTCCCAGCGAGTCTTATAAAACCAGCTGCAGGACCTTATCAAAGTGCTAGAACTGTAGATACCCAACTAAATGAGAAGCCGAAACAGCAGTATCCACAAAAATATTGACTGGCTTTTTGAGAATAAAGGGGAGTCATTCAAAGAAACCATTTTGAGCATTGACTAACTCTTGGCTCTCAAGCTTGAGTGGCCAAGAGTGATGGGTTCAGTTGGCAAAAGGCCCTGAAGGCCTATCAACAGCATGGGATTCTGTGGGCGTATATGGGGTGGAGGGGAAGAGGTAAACATTGAACGGACACGCCTGTCTTTTAACAACAGCTCAGCTGATATGCCAGGTCAACATTTCCAAGCACCTGCTGAGGCCAACACCCCACTGGGGCCACATTGCCAATCTCTATCATCTCTTCTGTCTCCAGCTATTCCTTCCTGTTCCTGCTGTCAGTTCATCTGATCTCTCTAAACAAGCCAGTTATGAGAAGAGGAGGAGAGAACTCAACTCATCCTTTCCCTCTGGGATCTAGTGCAAACTGAAGCCAGCAGCAGTGGAGGGCAGCACAGCACACAGCTTAGACATGCTCCTTTTTTCAGACTGTAGCTCCCAGCACTCAGCAAGACATGCTAGCTGAGAAATTCCAGGAGCCATAATCCCCCAAAATAACTTGGTCAAGCTCTGTCTTGCTCCGTAGTCTTCCAAATTTTGGGACACGCAGTGCAACAAAGGTTTTCTTAACTGACTTCTCTGTATTTGTCATTTCTATGGTTCAACTATTCTTGAAGATCAAACACCAGATTGCATAACACAACTGTAGCAAAGCTGCAGAACACATTTACAAACCCTGACCCTCCTGCTTCCTGGCTGGGGGACTGGGGCAGGGGGCATGTTATTAAGCATCTTTTCTTGCTCCTGATTGAATCTGGAGATTCATTGACTCTGCAAATAAAATCCAGGGCACCACTGCCAATCAACAGAATATGGTTTTTTTAAAGGATATCAGAAGAAATTTGAAAATGGCATGCTTATTAGCATAGTTAATTGAAGTGTACAGAAAGGAACACAAACTGAGAATTGAGTGCAATCCATTTTAAGCTTCCCTCCTGGCATTTTGTTCAAAGAAACGTGAGCAGTATGAAAGCATTAATGAACCAAGCACTAAATATGTAAATAACATCACGTTTAGCTTGGCCTTGGAACATGACAGCTTTTACTTTTCTTTTATTTCTAATGCAGCAAGATCTATGTTTAATCACTTGTAAGTCTGAGCTGATGATGAAACTTTTGACTTGTCCTGGTTAGAATTATATTGCACAGAGTTATGCCATGCATCTCAGATAACAACAACCAGCTTTGAACTGCAGAGCTGGAAGGGACCCTCTGGATCATCAAGTCCAGCCCCTCTCAAGGAGGCACAGTGGGGAATCGAACTCCCAACCTCCGACTCTGGACTTAGAGACCTAAGCCACAGATGGTCACCAACTGCAGCCATTTGGGGAGAATTAAACATTTTCTGTTTCTATTCTCTGCCTCGCCACCCAAGACTTCAGGGGTCTCTCATCTAGGGAAGCATCTGGGAGTCGGCAGAGGAGACCCTCGTGGTAGTGATTTTCAGGCATCAAACAATCCACCCATCCCATGTCTCCCCATAGCTCAACATATTATGAAGAGAAAAAAGATAAATATCAGAAGCCTCTGCACAGTTTGTTCAAACTGTATTCTACTGTACTCATTAGGATGTAAACTGCCAGGAAACTGTGCATAGGACTGCAAAAAAAGTTTGTAACCTCGTGCCTTCTGAGTATCAATATAAAAACCACCA